TATTGTGTACCAAGAAGTGTACTAGGTGATTGGAATGATCCTTTCCCTCTTGAAGAGTTTACATTCTAGAGCAGAAATAAGCAATAGGCATAACAACTCAGTAGTATGTTAGGGGGTAATACATGCTATGGGGGGATTAAGGGGAATTGGGTGGTTGCAATTTTTAAAGTGATTAGGGTAGGCCTTGTTGAAGGAACATTTGAGCAAGGACTTGAAGTGATTAGGATGACCCTGACTGCTGTTATAACAGTGTTAGGATCAGAGAGACAAGTTTGGAGCCCATTGCAGTAATTTAAGGGAGAGAGAATGGTGATCCCATTAACCAGGGTAATAAGAAAGAAAAAGGATGAAATGTAGATGTAGTTTAAAGACTTAACTGGTGGGATTTCCTAGCAATTTGTGGATTGGGTGTCAAGAGACATGAGTAAAAGATAACTGCAAGGCAGGCAGGCATATGCTTATAAACATTTGCATTCCTGGGACAAGAGTACAATGGAGATATACCAATGATTGAATATTTAAAGTTTGTTAAATGAAAATACCCCTATCTTGACAAATACACCTTCATAAGTACTTGGGGCCAGATTTACATTTCAGATTCTTTTTTTTTTTAATAAATGTATTTTTATTGATTTCAGAGAGGAAGGGAGAGGGAGAGAGATAGAAACATCAATGATGAGAGAATCATTGATTGGCTGCCTCCTGCTCGCCCCACACTGGGGATTGAGCCCACAACCCAGGCATGTGCCCCGACTGGGAATTGAACCATGACCTCCTGATTCATAGGTCAATGCTCAACCACTGAGCCACGCCGGCTGGGCAAATTTCAGATTCTTTTAAGTCCAGTGCCAGAACATGCGAGCAGAGCTGATCCTCATCTTCCTTCTCTTCCCATCCCTGGCTCTGAGTTCTATGGCAGCAGCCGTCCCTCCCCCCCCGCCCCCCCCCAACACACACACATTTGTGTAGACATCCTAGCCTGCATGTTCAAAATTCACCCTCCTTCCACACCAGTGCACGCACGGGTGATATGCATACTCTGGAACAGTTGAGGTCGTTTAGGCAGGGTCACTGCAATCCTGAGTACCTGGGGTACAGTCTAGAATGAGTGTGCTCCAGATAGAAATGTCCTTTTGACTCTTCTAAAGTTCAGGGCTCTGAGCAAAGGCTCTCTTTTCTTGTTTCAAGGGCAGTACTGCTCTAAGGTTTTTGGCCTGAACAACTGTACAGATGGTATTGCTATTAACGGAGAAGGGGGCTGCAGGTGGAGATCAGTGTGAGGAGATAAGCTTGGGAACACATATATCTGAGTCCTCTATTAGACATCCAAATAGTACAGTAGGGAAGGGTAAAAGGGAAATTTTCAACTTACAGTAATACTGGCCTGCAATATATCAAAACTGAAGGCTGTTTTAACTACAACTATTCTAATGAGTTAAAGCTGTTAAAAATCCATGACCTCTAAGTGACTCCAGACCCTTACTGAACGAATTCCATCCAGAAAATTTTTAACCCATCGTATATAAACCTATGAACATATTTTCTAGAGCATTGCTTATCAATTTTGTATTAGCAAACACTCTGTGAACCCTGCTTTCTTTTTAATATATATATATATTTTATTGATTTCAGGGAGGGAGGGAGAGGGAGAGAAAAACATCAATGATGAGAGAGAATCATTGACCTGCTGCCTCCTGCATGCCCCCTAATGGGGATTGAGCCTGCAACCTGGGCACATGCCCTTGACCAGAATAAAACCCAGAACCCTGCAGTCCACAGGCTGACGCTATATCCACTGAGCCAAACCAGCTAGGGTTGAAGCCTGCTTTCTATGATATAAGATCCCCTCATAGCCCTAGCCGGTTTGGCTTAGTGGATAGAGTGTCAGTCTGTGGACTGCAGGGTACAGGGTTCGATTTCCCGTTAGGACACATGCCCAGGTTAAGGCCTCGATACTCCGTAGGGGGCATGCAGGAGGCAGCCAATCAATGATTCTCTCTCATCTATGTTTCTATCTCTCTCCCTCTCACTTCCCCTCTGAAATCAACAAACTATATTAAAAAATAAATAAGTAAAATCCCCTCATACTTTTTCTTCTAGTGAACTACTCAGTGAATGTCTTCACTAGTATGTGTTCCCTTGCCTGGCATGTTAGTATTACTACTTTTTTAAAATGTTGGTAGTCTTATTCTGTGTGTGTGTTTCTTTTTTATGAGCAATTTCTTTAAGAAAATATATTGATTTCAGAGAGGAAGTGAGAGGGAGAGATAAAAAGAAACATCAATGACAAGAGAGAATCCTTGATCCACTGCCTCCTGCCTGCTCCCTACTGGGAATTGAGCTCAAAACCTGGGCATATGCCCTGACCGGGAATTGAACAGTAACCACCTGGTTCATAGGTTGACGCTCAACCACTGTGCAACACTGGCCGGGCTGGTAGTCTTTGGTTTATTCTTTGGCAACAAGTAGTTGGATATTAATTTGGGAGTCTTTGGCATATAGATATTATTGAAAATGATGAGACTCTAATATGAAAAGATTGGGACAAAGTGGATGACCCTGTAGAAGAGACTGAGACAGTGACCAGGGAGGTGTCCTTGAAGCCAAATGAAGAACTGTATCCAAAAGGTGAAAATGATAAACTGTGTCAGATGCTAATAGACAATTTGATGCAGCCAGCCGTTAATATATAATTTGAATTAGCCACTTCAGATTTGTTTACCAGAGCAATTATTTTGTTAGCTTTCTAAATTTTAGCAACTTCTAAGTGACGCTTGTAGATTTTCATTATATCTACAACTGAACTTGTGGTGTTTCTTTAGAACAGTTATTTCTTATAATTCATATTTTGTGAATTTATTTCATCACCAATATGATCATTTTTGTGAATTGGTGGTGATCAAAGCTGTCACCCATCTATAAGATTCCTATACTACTGAGATTTCCAGTAATCAATGCCCTGTGGTCAGAGAGAACACATACTTCTGAGCTGGTCACCGACACTAAGTCATGAAATATTCAACTGCAAATTCCGAGTTTTAAAGTCTCTAATTATAATAAAATAAGTGCTTTTGAAAATTGTGCTTGTTTGGACATCCTGAAGAAATGTAAATAAAATGTGTGTGTTGCATCTTGATAAACTGCAGATTGGATAACACCAAATATATTGAGTTTCTCCTAAGAAAATGGTTTGGGCTTCCAGATTACATCTTATTTTTCACCCAATCAAGTTTGTATTGTACCACTTTTTTTTTTCCATATAAAATGTCTTTCCCAAATTCACCTGCCTTCGGGGACTCTGAATTACACACTTAAAGGAGGTATTCTTTCCAAATGAGCTGAAGAATGGCATTCTGTTAAAAGATGAACAGCTGGTCATGCAGAAATTCTCTGGAATGCTCACTTGTCCTACAAAGACAAGGAAAGAACTGAGATGTGCAGTGTAGTGTTTGTTATTGTTATACAGAATTGCTTATCTTTTTTTATTTTTACATCATCTTACCAAAAATCTATAATTTAAAAAATTGCCCTTTTCTTTAAAAGACTGCTAGTCCATTAAATAATGTGAAGATCCTGAGAACCTGCCAACTGCACATTCAGTGGGACTCAGGATTGTGCTAGAATTGTCTCATTTGCCAAGACACAGTTTCTTAGATTAAGATTCAGGATCCTCCTGTTCAAAAATTACCCTTTGTTCTTGATTACCTTGGGGTTAAGTTCGAATTTCTTATCATAGCACAAAGGATTTGACTCTTGCTCATCTCCAAGTTCATCTCTCACTTCTTCCCCTATTGAGTTCTTTGTTCCAGCCATAAGAAACTAGCAGATGAGCTAAGCTCTCCCTTCTTCCTGGCACAAGCAGCAGCCCTTCCTTTTACCGTGGCCAATTCTGATTTGTCCACTCCTGGTTTATTTCTTCTTCAAGTGATTCTTCTTCATATCCTCAAGGTCAGTACATAGGGGTTCTCTGTTTATTTGTGGATGAATCTCCCCACCAAGAGGTTTGGTTTCAGTTTGTGCTCTTTATTCTGGTTTGTTTCTCAGAATTTCTGTAGAAATTGTTTGAAGGTGGAAGGAAGTAGGAGAGAGCTAGGGGCAAGGACAGCATTAACTTCCCCAGGTCACATATAAATGAGATTACAAAACAGAGATCTGGCCCCGTAGGCATTTGTAGAGAGAGGGGCCCACGGAGACCAATCTGCCCTTGGAAGCGCTCAGCTGTGCCTTGTAGTGTGGAGTCTCAGCACGGGACAGTCCCGGGATTTTAGTTAGAGTTGAGTTACTGTTGTGCGATGTTGCAGACTGTCCAGGTGGGTCCAGAAGCGAGCTGGAGAATTCGTGTCCAGGGTGGAGATAGGCTAGAGCCTGCGCTCCCGGACAGAAGGGAGGCGAGATGCCATCTGAGGCCGCCTTCCTCCACCCCTTCCAAATGGGACGGACGGGAGCGCTGTTGCTTCAACAATTGCCCTCTCTGTCCCAAGAAGACACAGTTAATGACCGCGAGCAAACGAGGGCAAAGACACCGTGTCCTCTGGGCCTTGTGCACTGAGATGTTTACGTAGGGTCGGGGAGGGCACACCTCCGCGGATCCCACGGCTCGCGGGCCTCCTGCTCAGCCCCCTCGCCCGCCCCGGCCAGCACTTTGGCTCTGCGGGACTGCGGGGCCCGGCGCGGTCGCCGGGCTGGGTGCCCAGGGCGGAGGGAGAGGCTGGGGCCCCGGGCGCTGTCTGGTCGCTGTGCCCACCTCGCAGCCCCATCTCCATTTTCGGAGGCTCTTAGCAGACGGCCCCGCCGGCCGGGGAGAGGCGGGCCGGTGGGGAGGGCCTCTCAGCGCCCGCTGGGAGTTGGCATTTGCCGCCCCTGAAGGAGAAGGGGAGTTTCCGGGGCTCGGGTCGCCGCCGTCGCCCTCTGGAAGGAGCGCGGAAGCGAGGGGGCGGTGAGAGGCGGGGCGAGGGAGCGGGGGGCGTGGGCGCGGCCGGCGTTGGACCGGCCCCAAGTGAATGAGGCGTGCGCCCGCGGCAGAGCGCTCTCGGAGCTGGGCTTTCCCCGCGGGGCGGGCGCCAAGAGCCGCCTTTTCCGCTGGGTGTCACTCGGGGGTGGGGAAGATGGCCCATTCAAAAGCGCCGCGAGGGGGCCCGGCCAGTGCCCTTCAGTGAGCGCTCGCAAGAGGACGGCCGAGGCCCGGCGGCTCGCAGCTCCGGGACCTGGTGGAGCATCAGGACGCGGCTGCCCCTCTGCCCGAACCCCGAGC